CTTTAGTTCTGCTTATCTCAGAATCTTTTAGATTCAAGAACTTTCTCAAATTTTTCAACTTTCTATTAACTCCTCGTCTGCGTCTCACTACAGCATTATATTGTTTGCAAAAAGCATACACCATGAGACGTCATTTGCACATATTTCCGTCAATTATCCTAACTATAGAGCAAAAAGATAAGAGACTAATAGTAAATCCTTGGTGTAACTCTACCAGTGTTAGAAATTCATTTGCTCTCCAGCTAAGCGATCTAAATAGTGTCACACCTTATGCATACATGTCCCTAACACATCAAACGTAACATTTTGTCAACGCCTTTTCTTCGCTAGACACCCACCATATTATATCACGGGAACTATCATATGTCTTATCCAAGGTCAACTAAACACCAGGTCGAATGTCTCTTTTCTTTCTCTATACTCTTCTATTACTCTCCTCAAAAGCAAGATCGCTTCCATATTGTAGACCTGCCATTCTTTGACACCTTTGTTATATCTCGCCAATTGGCGTTCTATCACCCTCTCCACACTTTCATTTATATGACACATTAGCTTATTCCTTATATTGTTTGGTGCAATTCTTGGACATCTCACTTTATTCTCATAGATTGGCACTAACAAACTCTTCCCACTCATCTGGCACATGTTCCTAGTCAATAAAATTTGCTAAACAACTACTCAAACCAACAATCCCCTTTTTTCAAACAATTCCAGCCTTCAATAGGGATCATCTGATCCTAAGCTTATTTGAATTTCATCTTCTTAAGTGCAATCTCCACTCAAAAGTTCCTAATCCTGCGACTAGAACCTATAGTCTTATGTATCGTCATTACTTGGCCTATGCTTCTTTCTATTCGACCGGTACCTCCATGTTCTCTATTTAATAGTTATCCAAAATAGTGTCTTCCATATTCTTAATCTTCTCCAAGTCCCTCACAAATACTTTAGAATCCTCACTCTTGATGCACTTAACCTGATTCTAAAATCTCCTGTTTCCTCTACTCCGTATTCTTAGCAATTCGTATGTTGTCCATCTTCCTCTCCCTTCTTTACTACTTAGTCTAGTGTGTATGGTCAATCATAAGCCTTTCAACTTAGACTCTCTCATACTTTCTTGACCTCCTTATTAACCAATCTATACTCTAAATTGTTTCTTCAGTTCTATCATTTTTGTCACTTTTTAAGCATCTTCTTTTTTCGCTTTAACACTCGCTTGACCTCTTCCAACTCCACCACAAGTTTCCGTAAGCTAGGGGCCCGTTCCTTTCGATTCGCCAAGTGTCAGCACCAAAATGTTTGTGGGTGGCGGTTTCCTTTTTCCCCCCCCCTTTTTGGGGGGGGGGGGGGGGGCAGGCGGGGGGTGCCGGAGACAAACCTATGTTTTTTATTTTTTTGTTTTTTTGATTTGAATCTCCGAGCTTGCGCCAACCCCCCCCCCCCCCCCCGTCAGAGCACCACTCATACTTTGGAGCATGCAAGGACTTGAGAAGGTGCAACAACGTTTTTATTGTAGTGTTTTTTCTCTGTTTCCCCCTCCCCCCAACCCCTCGCCACCCCACGCCCCCTTGGCCACCCCACCCCAACCCTCCCACCCCCCCCCCTTCCGCGCCCCCGTTTTCTTCTTCTTCTCTGTATCTCTTTTACATTTTTTTTTTCCCCGTGGAATATATAAAACACACTCTTGCCACCGTCTCTATTTTTACTTTTCTGTTCTGCCGTGGATATTTGTTAAATGTCTGTTTCAAACATATTTGGGGGCGCAGACATACCGCCAACTCGGGGGGGGGGGGCGGTGGGGGGCGGGGGGCGGGGCGGGGGGGGGGGGGTACCAGCCCCCCCCCCCCCCCCTGAAACAAAAAAATAACGATACATATACATTGCTTTGTCCCGCTTACTACCTGTCCATCCGCTCTCAGCCTTCCAATGCAGCTTTCGACATCGCGGCCGGCTATTTCATTTCCCTCCCCCGGGCGGGGGGGGGGTGGCGGTCACCGAGGGCAGACCCTGGCTCAGCTCGTATATAAGATCACTTTTGTTTTTTATTTTTCCCCCCCCCCCCAGCCACCACCCCCAACGCAGTCATTTACCCCCAAAGTCGTGGGGGTGGTGGGCTCGTCATCTCTTCTCCTCAACTCACACCAAAAAACCCCTACCCCTCCTAAAAATCCTAAACCCTACCACGCCCCAAATAGCCTCCGATAATACCCACAATTTTTTTTTCCCCGCACCCCGAACTAAAGTCCAAGTACCTTCTTCTCATCTTCTCTTATAAGCATATTCTAATTTACCCCTTCTAGGTCCACCATCTCATCCTACGAAGCCCAACATCCTTCCTAACTTGGTATCCCTCTAAAACATAAATCTAGTACCAAAATCCTATGCTTGAGAGTCAGGCTCTGTTCATAATCACCTTCAATCATTGCATTTAGGCATCCACTTTTCTCACTAAGAAGTAATCTATTTGGTCTTAACTGACCCACTCTTAAAGGTTATCAAATACTCATCCCTCTTCTTATACATAGTTACTGGCCACCACCAGGTCAGAAGCCAATGCCAAAATTTAAGATAACTCTCTCCAGCCTCATTTTGTCACTAAAACTGTATCCACCACCACATTTTCATAGCCTAGTTTATCTATGCCTACATTGCCACTAAAATCTCCACTATAATCTAGGTTCTCTCCTACGGGTATCTCCTGTAAGATCTCATCCATTTGTTCCCAAAAATCCCTCATAGTCTGATCATCTAATCCTACTTGAAGGGGCGTATGCACTTATAACATTCACTATATTCCCTCCAATAACTAGTTTAACTAATATAATCATATCCCTTTCCTAACGACCGCCATACATTCTCCACAAGACTCTTGGCAATTAAGATTTCTACCCTCATTCCTTACGTCTATCCTTACCACTATAATACAGTTTAAAAAATGTTCCTCAATTTCCCTAACTTTCTCACCCGTCCACTTAGTTTCTCTGTACGAAATATACTACTCTCCTCCTAATCATAACATCTACCAACTCCATCGTCTTACCAGTTAAGATTCCTATATTCCAAGTGCTACCTTAAACCTATAGTCTTGGACTAATCTTTATTCGCGCTCGTCCAGGAAAACACCGAGAACGTTTGCCCATTTTCACTGCACCCAAGCATCAGATGGGCGTCCTTTGCTCACTTTTCAAAAACACCCGGAGGCAGGCGCAACGCATCACTTGAGGGGAACAACCTAGCATTAAAGATTCAAAGTAAGATTCATTGTCATAAGGATCCGAGCGGCTTTTTACGTGTTGGCGTCGACTGCCTAAAACAGTCTTAGTTTTTGTTTTTCCTTCTTGGCTTTGTTTTAGCTTTCTATGTTGATTTCTTGTGAGGAGTTTTCTTTAATTTGCTTCTTTTTTCCTTTTTCCAAGGTATGCCTCTCTTAGCATTTTTTTTGCAGCTTGCTAGTGAAATAAAATCATAATTTACCAGGAAATTAAATTATAAGACCAAAAACCTATTCATTATTCATTAATCATGACATGTAGATAAACTCCCAACAAAAATCTCCACAGACAGCAGCATATAAAATACATCCAACCGAAAAGATTCAATTTTTAACAAAATAAAGTAAGAATTAAATCAATATACAGATTCCAGATATCAAGCTGATCAGACATAATTTTAAAATTGCATACTATATATATTTCATTGCAAAACAAGAATTCATAAACCCAATCACAGCAAGGACTAACCTTTGAATATCTTTCTTCTGAGACAACAACACTCGAGAATGCATTCTTGCAGAAGACGTGCCTTTCTGGCAACACATAGGATCATCAAGGGTTTCAAGCAGAGAACAAGCGTCGAATGGCTTAACCGAGTCCTTGCCCAGCCTCTCCTTCTGAGTCCCGTACCCGAGCTTTCGCTTCTCATCGTATGTGAAGAACGCGAGGTCTTGTTGTTCTTCGAGTTGCTCTGAGGCATCTCTCCGATCAAAATTATCAGAACCCTAATCGGACTCTGAATCAAATTTATGTGGAACAGATTGTGAATGATGTTCGAACCCTAGAAATCAGCAAGTGTAGTTGTCTATGCACATTTATATATCATTAAGTCCCTATCATTTTCTATAATTTTCAATTTAACCCCTCAAATTTTTTAAATTTATCATCCAAACCTTTGAACTTCTATAATTATTAGTCAATATGGATAAGAATATGAGTCGAAGTCCACCCCCACCCCTACCCCTACCCTACCTCTATTCCCATTTTCGACTTTTGCCTATATCTCAAGCCAACCTTTAGAAACTCTCTCAGTACATGTACTCATTCCAAACCGACAAATGTTAACTTTCACCCTAACCCTACGCAATCGACAACACAAAAAAAAATTTAATAATAATATTGAAACTCAATAATTAAAATTAAAATGATTATATAATTAAAATAATTATATTATACGTAATAAAATAATATATATATACTGTATAAATATTAAAAACTATATATAACATGATAAAAACTCAATAATACATTGTATTCTCAACAATATATTATGCACATATTACATATAATATTATTTATTTATTATATTATTATTATTATTATATATATCTACGGGTCAAGGAGTTTGTCGGTTTTTTTTTTTTTTTTTTTTTTTTTTAATAATAATAATAATAATAGAAGACAAGCCCATATGGGTGGAACCAGCACAGGGGTGTGATGTTATGATTGATTATTTTAATATATATATATATAAATGGAACCAGCACAGGGTATATAATAAAATAAAAGAAAAGATGGGTATAAAGAAAGTGGGGGATGTGGGCGGTGGATGTGTGATAATGGTTTTGGATGGAGAATGGATTATGTTTTTCAAAAAAGAAGAGATCCCTGGTGGCTGGCTGGTATGTGGTGTAAAAAAGAAGAGACATGGGCAGCAGGATGAGTCGGTTTTGGGGGGGTGGGAAAAAGTGAAGTGAGAGAGAGAAAGTGTATATTGGGTTTGATAACACATCCAAAGCCGAAACATCAGTATTCTCAGCCCTCACTCAAATTGGGGGCTCTATACAGGTGAAGGCGAGAGCCGTTGATAATGAAAGAGACGACCCGAAATCCAGAGAGGAGCGAGGATAGCAACGACCTCGCGTTCTTCACATACGATGAGAAGCGAAAGCTCGGGTACGGGACTCAGAAGGAGAGGCTGGGCAAGGACTCGGTTAAGCCATTCGACGCTTGTTCCCTCTGCTTGAAACCCTTGATCGATCCTATGTGTTGCCAGAAAGGCCACGTCTTCTGCAAAGAATGCATTCTCGAGTGCTTGTTGTCTCAGAAGAAAGATATTCAAAGGTTAGTCCTTGCTGTGATTGGGTTTATGAATTCTTGTTTTGCAATGAAATAATTGTATATCTGTATGCAATTTTAAAATTATTGTCTGATCAGCTTGATATCTGGAATCTGTATATTGATTTAATTCTTACTTTATTTTGTTAAAAATTGAATCTTTTCGGTTGGATGTGATTTTAATGCTGCTGTCTGTGGAGATTTTTGTTGGGAGTTTATCTACATGTCATGATTAATGAATAAATGAATAGGTTTTTGGTCTTAATTAATTTTTTTTTCCTGGTAAATTATGATTTTATTTCACTAGCAAAGCTGCAAAAAAAAACTGCTAGAGAGGCATACCTTGGAAAAAGGAAAAAAAGAAGCAAATTAAAGAAAACTCCTCACAAGAAATCAACATAGAAAGCTAAAACAAAGCCAAGAAGGAAAAACAAAAACTAAGACTGTTTTAGGCAGTCGACAGCCAACACGTAAAAAAGCCGCTCGGATCCCTTATGACAATGAATCTTACTTTGAATCATTTAAATGCTAGGTTGTTCCCCTCAAGTGATGCGTTGCGCCTGCCTCCGGGTGTTTCGAAAAGTGAGCAAAGGACGCCGCATTGATGCTTGGGTGCAGTGAAAAATGGGCAAACGTTCTCGTGTTTTCCTGGACGAGCGCGGATAAAGAATCTAGTCCAAGACTATAGGTTTAAGGTAGCCACTTGGAATATAGGAATCTTAACTGGTAAGACGATGGAGTTGGTAGATGTTATGATTAGGAGGAGAGTAAGTATAACTTTCGTACAAGAAACTAAGTGGACGGGTGAGAAAGTTAGGGAAATTGAGGATACCGGTTTTAAACTGTATTATAGTGGTAAGGATAGACGTAGGAATGAGGGTAGGAATCTTAATTGCCAAGAGTCTTGTGGAGAATGTAATGGCGGTCGTTAGGAAAGGGATATGATTATATTAGTTAAACTAGTTATTGGAGGGAATATAGTGAATGTTATAAGTGCATACGCCCTTCAAGTAGGATTAGATGATCAGACTATGAGGGATTTTTGGGAACAAATGGATGAGATCTTACAGGAGATACCCGTAGGAGAGAACCTGATTATAGGTGGAGATTTTAGTGGCCATGTAGGCATAGATAAACTAGGCTATGAAAATGTGCGTGGTGGATACGGTTTTAGTGACAGAAATGAGGCTGGAGAGAGTATCTTAAATTTTGCATTGGCTTCTGACCTGGTGGTGGCCAGTACTATGTATAAAAAGAGGGATGAGTATTTGATAACCTTTAAGAGTGGGTCAGTTAAGAGCCAAATAGATTACTTCTTAGTGAGAAAAGTGGACTGCCTAAAATGCAATGATTGTAAGGTGATTCATGAACAGAGCCTGACCTCTCAACATAGGATTTTGGTACTAGATTTATGTTTTAGAGGGTAATACCAAGTTAGGAAGGATGTTGGGCTTCGTAGGATGAGATGGTGGACCTAGAAGGGGATAAATTAGAAATATTTAATAATAGAATGGATAAGGAAGGTACTTGGAACTTGGAAGATGATGTTAACACTATGTGGAACTCGATGGCCAATTGTATGAGGAGAATCTCAAGGAAATCACTTGGAGAATCGAAAGGAACGGGACCTAGCTCTAGGAAAACTTGGTGGTGGAGGGAAGAGGCTCAAGCGGTAGTTAAAGCAAAAAAAGAGTGCTTTAAAAAGTGGCAAAAGGATAGAATTGAAGAAAACTTTAAGAGCTATAGATTGGTTAATAAGGAGGTCAAGAAAGTAGTGAGAGAGTCTAAGTTGAAAGCTTATGATGACCTATACACTAGACTAGATAGTAAAGAGGGAGAGAAGATGGCACACAAACTTGCTAAGATACGGGAGAGGAAAACAAGAGATTTTAATCAAGTTAAGTGCATCAAGAGTGAGGATTCTAAGGTATTGGTGAGGGATGGAGAGATTAAGGAATGATGGAAGAACTATTTTGATAAACTATTAAATGAGGAACATGGAGGTACGGCAATATGAGAAGAAATAGCCAGTAATACGATAAAATAAGACTATAGGTTCTATCGCAGGATTAGGAACTTTGAAGTGGAGATTGCACTTAAGAAGATGAAATCAAATAAGGCTTTAGGATCAGATGATATCCTTATTGAAGCTTGGAATTGTTTGGATAAAAAGGGGATTGTTTGGTTGGCTAGGTTGTTTAGCAAAATTTTATTGACTAGGAACATGTCAGATGAGTGGAGGAAGAGTATTTTAGTGCCAATCTATGAGAATAAAGGAGATGTCCAGAATTGCAACAACTATAAAGGAATCAAGCTAATGTGTCATATAATGAAAGTGTGGGAGAGGGTGATAGAACGCCGATTGCGAGATATAACAAAGGTGTCAAAGAATGGCAGGTCTACAATAGAAGCGATCTATCTTTTGAGGAGAGTAATAGAAGAGTATAGAGAAAGAAAAGAGACATTCGTATGGTGTTTATTGACCTTGAGAAAGCATATGATAGAGTGTCCCGGGATATAATATGGTGGGTGTTAGCGAAGAAAGGGGTGACAAAATGTTACGTTGATGTGATTAGGGACATGTATGAAGGGGTGGTGAGCACTATTAGATCGCTTGCTGGAGAGACAAATGAATTTCCTATCACTGTAGAGTTACACCAAGGATTTACCTTAAGTCCTTATCTTTTTGCTATAGTTAAGGATGAATTGACGAGAAATATTCAGAATGACGTGTCATGGTGTATGTTTTTTGCAAACAATATAATGCTAGTGGCTGAGACCAGAGAAGGAGTTAATACAAAGTTGAAAATTTGGAGAAAAGTTCTTGAATCTAAAAGATTCTGGATAAGCAGAACTAAGACAGAGTACATAGAGTGTAAATTTAGTAACAATAACAATGAAAACAGAGGAGAAGTGAAGATTGAGAACCAAGAATTGTCTAAGAGTGAAGATTTTCGTTATTTAGGGTCGATGCGGATGTGGCCCATAGGATTAAGGCGGGATAGTGTAAGTGGAGAAGTGCATCTGGAGTACTGTGCGATAAATGAATACCCACTAGACTTCAAGGTAAGTTCTATAAAACGGTTATTAGACCAGCGATATTATATGGGACGGAGTGTTGGGCAACCAAGAAGCAACATGTAAGGTGGATGTGTGGCAAGACTAGACAAGACAGAATTATGAATGAATATATTCGGGAATGGGTAGGAGTAGCACCGATAGAAGATAAGTTGAGAGAGAATCGATTGAGATGGTTTGGTCATATTCAACGGAGACTAACAGAGGCAGGAGTGTAGAGATGCGATACTGTAAAGGTAGATGGAAGTGTTAGGGGACGAGGTAGGTCTAATTAACGTTGGTTAGCGTTGTAAATAGAGGTATGAATCTACTTAATTTGACCAACGAAATAGCCTTTGATAGGACCATGTGGAGAAGAAAGATACATGTAGCCAACCCCATTTGATGGGACTTAAGGCTTGGTTTGGTTTGATTTGATTTGGTTTGTTTTGTATGGTAGAGGAAGGGATCCCTCAATCCACACTGAAGTTGTAAAGGGTGTTGTTTACATTGCTATTTTTTCTTACTATTAGAAATTTAGAATGCGTATATTGATAGTATTATGATGGGTTGTTCCTGGACTAGCTGAATTTCAAGAAGCATGCTCTAAATTTGTGTCTTTACAAGTGAGCTCTGTGATTGGACAAGTTGGTCATGATAGAATAGTCATGAATGATTCAAAGCCAATAGACTGGATGAGTTTTTTGAAATTAAGGAACTACGAAAGTATGAATAATAGAGAGGAGAATCATGTTGGGTTTGCAATTTTGGTTAAATGACTTGTGACTGGGGGCGGTCTCTCTCCACACCAAACAAGAAAACACTTTGATCATATTTGAAACTGAAAGTACAAAAGGGGAGCTGAAAAGGCCTCTTAAAAAAAATATCTTAATGGGTATTATGTGCATCAGCTGTGCATTTATGTAATCTGGTATTTTGAGAATACTTAATCATGGATTTGTTGACCTATGTATAAAACCCTAGTTGCAGGAAACTCTTTCTTTTTTCTTTTTTTTTTGGGGGGGGGGGTCGGGGTTGTGTGATGTTTTCGCTCTAAAATTGTTGTTTGAAGTAAGAATCTTGTTAGAACCTCAATCCTGTCAAAATAAAATCAGGACTCTAACTGGAATGGGACCATTCAAACATATGAATCTCAAATAAATAAAACAAAAGCTATCAAAGAGAAAGAAATTTGTACAGAACATATATTTTTCTTAGATTTTGACTTTTCTCTTAGGAACAATTATGGAAATCTTTTATAGATCTTTCAATTTTGGTTTTCAATGTTGAGGAGTATATATATTTCATTAGTGAAAATATACCAAGCTTATGTTAATAGTTTAAATGCTATTATAATGTAGACATTTATTGTAAATAGTACAAATAAGCAACAAAAATTTATTAGAATATATTTAATTTATACTATATAAATGATCCTCTGCATCGTGCATCTAAATATAAACCATGATTGTGTTAAATTATCTTAAAATTATTGTGTTGGGTGAGTTTCTACCTTGATGTGTGTGGGCAACAACATATTACAAAACGATCATAGTTAAATTATTTAGAAGGATTCACCATTTTCTTTATATTAGAGAGCATGATTCGTTGACCATAATAATAGTCAGGAAAAGCTAGGGGTTTCATATATTTATGTAATAGTGGTTGGTAATTGGTACCACCTTTTTAGGCTGTACCTAGAATCTTTAAATTGCTAGTGATGCTTCTCACATTTTGACTAGAAATATTGGTTGTAGCCCTTTAGACAAGTGAGCCATTTGGTGGATTTATAATATGGACATACTCTACATGCTTAACAAATTGATGGCTTTTCTTAAACCAAATCAAACCAAGCCTTGGGTCCCAATGAAGTGAGGTTGGCTGTATGAATCATTCAGGGCTATTCAGGGCTATTTGCTCACATGTGAGTTTACTACCTTGTCCCATGTCAATTTAGGTCTTCTTTTTCATAACATTTTTATTTACAGTGGTAATATCACTCTTCCTTATTGTTGCATCTGTTGGTTTTGTTGCACTTGACCAAATTATCTTTGCTTGTCCTCTCTTAATTTATATTCAATTGGTGCTGCTACCCGTACCATTGGTTCAATGGTTAAGACTTGGCCTAATAACCTTGAGGTTATGGGTTCAAGTCTTGGGATCATCACTTTGTGCATTATGCTAAAGGTTAGGTATGTACTTAATCTTTCCTCTCCCAAGCACACATTAATGTATACTAATTGGGTGTTGTTTTTTTTATTCATTCTGATTCTATCATTCTTAATTTTATCACACATCCATCTCTAAGTATCCTCATCTCAGCTTTACGCATTTTATGAATGTGTTCTATGCTGCAAATCATCTTTGAAGGCATGTTTCTTGCACACCTAGAATATTAATTAGTTCTACTTTGAGCTCATGTATTGTAAATTTTATCAAAAGATGTGGAGTTGGATATGTATAATCAGTTGTTTGAAATGATTCTAAGATAAGCACTGATTCTTGGAAAAATGCATTGTTAGTCTGAATTTTATTTATTTTGCACAAATCTCTTATTTGACTACTTTCTAGACTCATATTTGATCGTATGGTTTGTAAGGGAAATTTGTTTTTAAGTTTTTTGTAGATCTGGCAGTTGTATGGAATGAAGAATGACTTGCAATGGTGATTTATCAAAAAAACAAAACCAAAAAAAAAGAACAAAACAAAAGAAGAACGACTTGCAATGGTGATCATTAGATCAATTGTGTCTATGGTTTACTTGGATATCATTGTTCAAGTGATTGTGAGAACCTTGACCTGTTTCAATTAGTGTCCATCTCAACAGATGCTAGAGAAATATTTTTTGAAGATTTCAATTACAATTTACAACTTTCAAACACCACAATTTTCTTAGTACCTCTCTCATGAAGTTGTGGTTGTATTTTTAGGTGAGCGTGGTTGGGTTTGGGTTTGGGTTTTGTGGGGTAGTAGGCATGGGTGAGTATGTTAGATGGACTTTGGTATGGGTGTTGGGCAGGTATGAGTCTAGGTATCCGTTCATATAATGCTCATATCAAGGAAATCAGGTTTACTTATTTTATTTTTATGTGTAAAATGATATTTACAGACTAAAATGAAAGTCTTAAGAATAGGTATATTAGTAAACTCCATTAGTTATTGGGTGAATGTCCAACTTGGCATATCAGACCCATATCCCATACCCTTCAGTGTCAACTGTCTGACATGGGAATTTTACAAATTTAGAAGAGGAGTCCATGTAAAATATTCGACTTGCCAATTTACAATACACTAACTACTTCAACTTAACAAAGCCTTGTCACAAATATTTGGGGCCAGGTACTCATAGGATCTAAGTACTAAATTTATCGATTCTGTCCCATAAATTACTACTGTTAATTGAAAAGTTAAATAAGTATGATGGTTTCCAATTAAAGATGTGAAATAATAGCGAAATCTGTCCCACTTGCTATACCTACACTCCAAATACTTACCCAATAACATGTTCTTGGTAACATTCGTTGTTTACGTGGTTGGTTATACTTTGTAATGATTCCGCCATATTATCTGTTATTTGTTTGTCAATATCACACTGAAATTATTTTACTTTGTCTGGCAGGAAGCTAACTGCACATGCTGCTCAGCAGAAGCAAGAAAAAGATGAGGAAGAGGAGAAGTTAATGCTGCAAAAAGCCAGAGAGCTTGATGCTTTTGATCAGCAAAACCACGGCGCTGTACCACAATACAGTGATAAGAACTATAACAAGGGCAAGAATGGCTTCCACGGTGCAAACAGTGTGAAGGCCACCTCTTATGAGGAGGAAGCGCTGCGAACCATGAAAGCATTTTGGCTTCCCTCTGCCACACCAGAAGCTCCTGCTAAGGTAGAAGCTCCATCCACCGGTACAACCTGTCCCGAAGGCAAGGAAAAACTCAAGTTGAAGACCCTTTTCCCAATCTACTTTACTGAAGACAGTTATGATGATGAGAAATCGAATTATCTTGAGAAGACTTATATCTGTCCTAGCTGCAAGGTCACCCTTACCAATACACTGTCACTTGTGGCCCTAAGTTCTTGTGGGCATGTCTTTTGCAAGAAGTGTGGAGATAAGTTCATGGCTGTCGATAAGGTTTGTCTTGTCTGTAACAAAGGATGTAAAGAGAGGAATTTGGTTCCCCTGGAAAAAGGAGGGACAGGTTTTGCTGGTCATGATGATCATCTGGTAGCTACAGATTTCAAGCATTTGGGTAGCGGTTCTGGTTTGGGGCTGGTGAGGCCTGCAATGAAGACATGAAATGAATTTGCATCGAGATGATTGACTCCAACGGTTTGGGACTGGTGAGGCCGGTGATGAAGACATGAAATGAATTCACAACGATGATTTAGTCCAATGTTGTACACAATAATTTGCTTTGGTTAATATGATTTGCTTTGTTAATCTGCCATCCTTTGAACTGTGTAATTGTTTAGTAATTTTGAAATATTTGGAAACATCATTTTGGTATATTGATATTTGTATGATGTTTTTGGATTAATCAAATTAGTAGTTATGGAATGAATACTTAACTTGGTGGAAGACAATATCAATTGCATCTATTTCAGTATGTGTAATTCATTAATCGAGAATATTATGTACACATATTATGATAATATTTTAAAATCAATAAATATTTTTAAATTTAATCATTGTCTGACTTTGTCCTCTACAAGAGATGCCCACTTTAGCTAAGTGCCGCCTCTAGTGTGGCCTTTCAGGAGAACCTATTATGTTCTCTTACAGAAAGTTTAAATGGCACTTCAATTAATATTTATTGGTTTTATTTATAGAATTCATTACTTTTACGATTTAAGTTTGAATTTTAGAAAAATAAATAAATAAAATAAAATAAAATATATCAATTAGTGAATGAAATAGAGCATTAGTTCATAAGCACAGAATAATTTCCGCCTTTTAGGCGCACTGAGTTGGGTCAACTTGTAACAGTAGACCTTCATGCACATGGAGGGTTCGTTTTTTTGTTGAGAGTAAGGGGTTGTTTGTGGTGTCTTAAATAAGTGTACTTTTTGTCTTTTTGAATTAAAAAATTGAGGAAGAAAATATAGATGTTTGGGTTAACTTTTTGACTTTTTATGAAAAAATATGTAATAAAAAATTGTAAAAATTGATTTGTAGAGAAAAATTAGGATTGGGAGTTATGCAACTGTAATTGTTGACTTTTGGTGAATAGTGTTAACTTTTTAACTTTTTGAGTAACTTTTTAATTTTTTGACTTTTTTGCAATATGTCAAACTTGGCCTAAATAAATGCAAACTTTATTAATAAACTGTGATGCTTATCCGAACAAAATCCTATGTAGCCATTACATTACATGTCCCCATCCACCAGCTTTGGTCGGTTGTGTTGTGGTTCAGTGGGACTGCTGAGAAGTATCCTCCACCACTCTTTATCAAATCATATATAATACTATGTATGTAATATTGGAAAAATTAGGATTTGGATAAGAATTTAAATTATGAATATTGTAAGTACTTGAAATGAGGGGAGAAATTGGAGAGAGTTAAACTATCCCAACATAATAATACAATAGTAACAACATTTGAAAAATGGATAGGGTATTATTATTGGATTTGGATCCTTTTTCGTCCGTAATTTGGATTAGAGAGTATTATCTAAGCCCGTGGAGTTCACCATGAGTTTCATTTTAATGATCCAACCTGTTTATTTTTCCGAATCCTTCGTATATATTATTTATATAAAAAATTAAATCAATATGATAATCATAGTCTTTTCATATAATTTGAATAAAATTTGATAGTGAGTTGAATAATCCTAACCTATTCATATGATTTTCGTAGAGGAATGGTTAAGATTTGATTGCTAAGGCCATTATTGAAACATGTGAATGATGCGATAAAATTGTCAATACATGGGAGAATTTTCATCCTTGCAATGGGGAAAATTGGTCAAGAATGATTGTTTGGCGAACTAATTTTTGATCAACAAATGGAAGACCATAATCCATATTTAAAATATAAAAAGTCTCAGTAAAACATATTATTACTGCATAAGTTTTTATTTTATCAATCTAATAATTTATATCTGATCAAAAAAAAAAAAAAAATCTAATAATTTATATCGCAATAGAAAGTTTGATAATATATAACTATAATTATTCAGCATCAAAAAGTTGAACTTCATCCATTCTTATATCAATTAAATTTGAAAATCTCAACAATCAAAATAGTAATATTACCAATGGACTAATAAGAGTGTTGTGTAAATGTTATTAATACATTTAAATACCTTAAATAAATTACATTAAATAAATTATTAAATATTTAGTAATTTTTTTGAGTCTCTATCATATTTATATGGTGATATGAGTAAATGAAAATTAAAATGTTCACCCCCTGTAGTAATAGTGAATAGAGATCCCAAGCATTGTATCAAAATAAATAAATAACTAATAATAAGAATAATAATAATAATAGGGTCTTGAATTGCTAACAAAATTTCTTATGGCACCATTACAAGACAAAAAATTTTAAAAACACCAAATACCTTTCACTAAAATTTAATACATTCTTTAATAATTATATATATATATAATTTTTTTTTATAAAAAAATTATACATATTTCAATATTAAACAATGCCTATAAACCACTTGTAAGCTTTGCCATAATAATAATAAAATTAATACATTCTTTAATAATTATATATATATATATAATTTTTTTTTAAAAAAATTATACATATTTCAATATTAAACAATGCCTATAAACCACTTGTAAGCTTTGCCATAATAATAATAAAACAGAAATTTAAGTGATTGTTGATTATTTCGAGAGTATAGAGATGTCAACGGGGTTAATGGGGTGGATATTTGAGAGGGTAATTTATATGAAAATTGGGCCGAGCTGGGTAATGGGCCGTTATGGGCCACAGTGCGAAGGGCTGAGTAAAAAGGCCATGAAGTTACTCCGGCCCAACAGAGGTGTAAAGTTACTCCGGTCTGCGAGAGACCTGAAGATTACTCCGGTCCCAAAGAACTTACGGTAAGTTCGGTCGGCAATCACTAAGTTATACCGGTTTGGACCGAAGTATTGGTTATTCCGGTCTAAACATACCGTGGTTAGCATTAAGAAGAGCCAAGGTAAGAGCAGTGAATGGAAGAGCCGAGCTAATGTTATCTCGGTCTAGTCTACGGCTCAGCATAGTGATGCTTACCTCGGTCATGTTGAAGTCTGACCATGGTAGAACCATCTCACTTGGTTTATGCAGTGAGGGGGGTGTTGAAGCATTATCTTTCAGGAATGTGATTCCTAGGAGGACTCTACATGGAGGAGTAAAAGTCTTACTTGGATTGTGCCACGCGGAACCTATAAAAGCTTATAACATCACCTATGGAGAGGTATAACACAACTTTGATTCCCGAATACACAAAGCTTCTTGTCTATTTGTCTATTCTGCTGACTTAGGCATCGGAGAGGTATCCGGCACACACCCGCCGGCTAGCTCACGTTTATATTTTCAGGGAGTAAAGCGACGTCGTACGGAGGAGCGCAATCTTGATCAACAGGATTATACGAGAAGGTTTATTTCTTTCCTGTACAACTGGCACCGTCTGTGGAAAAGTCAGACTAGAACAAAACCTCTTGATCAAGCTTTTCCTCTTTAGAAGCAATGGTGCACAACGAAGATTTGCCGCAGTCCGCCATCGACGGACAAACACCAGAGGAGGGTGCAAGACGTGAAGGCCTACCTTCTATCCCTCCCATGGCGGACTTGGAGCCACAGCAGCAAAATCCCAGGAGGGATGCAAGGGGGAGGAGGCGGACTAACAGCCCCCATCACTCTCGTTCACGAAGTCCTGACAGACAAAGGCGGAGGATTGATCCTCAAGTTCTGGAAGACCGTGTGAAAGAGCAAGATGAATTAATAAGGAAGATGGCGGTGGACATGGAGGCCATGAAGCGCCAGATCAAGGGAAAGGGGGTGGCGACAGGAGAGGGGCGCAAAGGCAATGCGCCTCCTCGCCACTCAGAAGATCGTAGTAGGCATACCACGGCATCGCAAGCAGAGAGTAGAAGCCTCAGGACGAGCGATACTTAATCAAGGACTTCCAGAACTCGTTACTCCAGGTATGAGAGAACGAGATCATTAAGGTCTTACACAGAAGGAAGTACCTATCGGCCCTCACACACGCATCATACATCGTCCAAGAAAACAGAGTTGAACTTACGGACTATGCTTGAAGAAAGGGCGCGACAGAAGGAGGATGCTAGGGCACACGACCCGCATAGAGTTTCAGCCCTTCGGCGATTGGTTCCTCGGACGTATGGAAGTGTCGAGGTTGGAATGCTAGCACCACACCTTGCCTACGAACCAACGGATAAAGCGTTGGCAAGACTACATAGCTCGCTGTTCGTTCCGGCGATAGAGAACGCATCATTACCCTCAGGCTTCATCCAGCCTAAATTTACCACGTACGAAGGGAAGACAGACCCTTACATGCACCTAAGCCACTTCCACCAGGTTATGGTAGTATATCGACGAAACAAGGCTTTGATGTGCATCCTCTTCCCATCAAGCCTTGGTGACCTAGGCTTGACTTGGTTCGAAAAACTTTCAGAAGGCAGCATAGCCTCCTCGGCGCAATTGGAGGAGGCATTCGTAACAAGGTTCAGAACAAACATCAAAACCCCGGTGGAAATTGATCAACTGCTCTCCATCGACATGGGCGAAAAAGAGTCATTAAAATCCTACAATAGCCGCTACTGGGAGACCTTCAACCAGATTGGGGACTGCCCCACCAATCTCGCTATCACACAATACAAAAGAGGCCTTCCAGTCGGGAACAGACTAAGGGACTCAATCACTATGACACCACTGCTTACGATGAAGGCCTTAATAGAAAGAGTGCACCAACACATTCGGGTAGAAGAAGATGACGCTCGTGCTAAGGCAAAGTCTAGCACGACCGCAGTACCAGATAAAAAGACCGCGACAAAGGTCAACGCAGTAGAACGTCCGAACAAAAACGGACGAGGCAGGCGGGACAACGGAGAAGACCAGGATAAAAGATGGTTGAGAATCCGCACTGCCATTACCACGGTATTCAAAAAGCCAATCTACCGGATTCTAAGCGAGATACGCGATGAACCTTTCGTCAGATGGCCTGCCAAGCTAGGAGAGGCTCAGAAGGACTACGACGAAAGATCACGTGCCGACATCGTGAACAGTCTTGCTCTCAGCTCTTCCATCGATAGAAACATATCCCTTGACGGCGCCTGGCTGCCAT